CATCATCATCACCATCATCATCTTCTTTTTCTTCTCCTCCTCAACGGCTACTGCAAATGTTTCTTAGTAGCTCAGCAGAAGCATTTCTTACATCCCTCATTCTAGTCATGTAAATGATTGGACTCAGTGTAGAGTTTAGAGTCATGGTGGTTACTAAACCCGCAAGGGTCGACAAACCCGATGAAATCATGAAGTCACGAAAGGGTTTTGATTTGTACGACCCTGGTGCTGTAACTGTAACAAAAATACCTATCAGAGGCAAATAACAAACACAAATTAAGATTACTATTATTATCATTGTCTTTAAGAGCTTTCTGTACTTGAGAACATCGATGGCATTGGACTGTGTTGCACTGTTGGGTTGTTGGTTACCCTGTGGATGGGTCTGAGCACAGTGGATCTTAAGGGCTCTGAACGACATCGTGTAGCAAAACAGAATTAAAGCCAAGCAGCATGTTTGTGACGTACCACCAATTACACCAAAAGTGACCATATCTTTATAAAGAACAAATATCGAAGCCATTGCAGTGAATGAAGAAATCCATATTATAGGAATAATACGTCTTATTCTTGTTACAGTGACAAAAGTCTTGTACCGCATCTTGAGTCGTACGGCCAAGTACCTGTCTACACTGATGGCTGTTATGGTGAAGAGCGAAGACCATGATGTCCAACTTAAAATGACATAACATGTCATCAAAACGTAACAACATAGCTCAGCATGTTTACTGAAAAATGAAAATATCATCATGGCTAAAAGTGATTGACCAAGAATTCCTATTACAAGATCACTGAAGGCGAGACTTGTCAGTAAAAGATACGACGGTGTTCGTAAAGAAGACGTCGTCAGAATGGCCACGATAACCAGAGCATTAGCAGCAGCTGTTGGTACAGCTAACACAGAGTTAAAGAAGCCAAGAAATATTAGACTGTTAATTCCGCTACTCGTAAAGTTATCAGATATATCATGGGCGATACTTGAGCATTTGTCTATGTACTTCATCTTGAACTATTCCTTCAGTAATTTGCAGCGAAGAAATTGGAAGCGATTATAATTTGGCTGCAATACTGAATAGTAGCCTCTTTGCAAGCACTCTTCTTTCATTTTAACACATGACAGGTGGCTTTGAAAGGTTACTACTAATATCTCATTGGCTAGAATAAAGTGTTCATCCTCGGGGGCATTGACCAACTGGCTTATCACTCTCAAAATTAATAGACACCGCTATGGCAAATGAGCTGTACTTATTGAAAGGCTTTAAGTAAAATCGCCCCATGGAACATAAAGTCATCAATCATTTACTGAAAACAATTAATACAAATCTCGGTTTTTGATTGGTTGGGAGCGCGTACTTTATGAGAACATATATCAGCACGCCGTGTATTCATTATTTCGTTATTAGTATCGAAAAGTAAGGCTTTCTTGATTTGTATTTCGTAAAAAAGCTAAAAAATTCCTGCTGTGCTATGCACAGTTATATGTAAAGCCTCAAAGATACTATACTTAAAGGACTTTGAGATGAGTAGAACACTCAAGAAGTGTTAACGAGCACTCTGATACGTGTCAGTCATGTTTCTCCTAACACTTTTCTCGTGTTCTGCCAATTCCTGCATGCTTTATACTGTTATTTAAAAAAAAGCTCAATGGCGAATGTCGATCGGTTATTGGCGATTGGCGATTGCACGACCGCAAGGAACTGTGGGCATACACCTAAACACGAATATTCCAAGGTGTTTTAAATAGTTTATTCGACTTTGAAGAAAAAAACTAAATATATGTTAATAATAACCTCTGTCTTAGACAAGAGAACCAATTAAAATGAAGAATGAAAACAATGCATTCCAACTTTGAGTAGTTGAGCCAATCAAAAACCTAGACTGAAGGAGAATAGTAAATTGATGGTTTTCAACCATTCCCAAGAGAATTAAATAACGAAAGACACGGCGGCCATGGAGGATATAACAAAAGAATTCATTGACAATTCTTTTGTTAAGTTCCTTCAACGTGGCCGCGTGAAAATCATCAATTGACCCTGATGCTACGTATTTGGATAGTTTTTTTTTTTTTTAATCACTTTTCACCCCGATGATTCGATGACCCGAAAGTTAGGTAGGGACACAATTACTTTTAAATTGTTAAAAATCTATCCCTTCCTTGTTTTACGAGGGTAAAACTTAACGCTGAGCCTGTCGCTAACAAGCGACAAACCTGTGGCACTCGTTCCAAGATCGAGTTGGAAGTTACGAATTAATTTTTGTCGAAATGTAGAAGAAACCACTTGAATTAAACTTTCTGAAAATGTATGAAGATCTCTCATTTATTTCCTTTCTTTATTAATAGTAAATAGTTGAAAATAAGTTTATACGAAATACAGCAAAATCGAATCAAGTCACGGGAATCAAACTGTAGACCTCTTGGATTAATCATGTACTCAAATGAATATTACGCCTGATGAAGACTCGCAATAGCAGTGGCAAAACGTCGCCGGCGGTTCTCCCAACAGCCATAATCGTGAGTCAAATAAATAAATAAATATAATCTTTTACCCCATTCACACCAAGGCTTAAACATGTTTTAAAGYGGTTTAACTAAACAGGTTTGAAAAACTATCTACGAACACTGCACAATATTTGGTGAAATAATGTATGTAAACTATCCTTTGTCTTGCTCTGACATTAATTTTACAAAGTTTCATTATATTGTAGGTTTCTAGTTTCTCAATTTTTTTCCTAATGAAAACATAGTTTAACTAAACACGTTTAGGTGTGAATAGGGTATTTGATTTATATCCACGATGATAATCTTTTCCAGTCTATAATGATGACAATGAAAATGACTAGTGTAGTTTTATTCATGAACTTCAGCTTATACATCTGAACTTTTGAAGAATCTTGATGCAAACCCGTCCAATGTCTGTCATCCTTGTCACGTAAATGATAGGATTTAACAAAGAATTTAGATTCACGATACTAACCAATCCTAAAATATATATCAGGGCATCCACTCTTTTCACACCAAAAACAGATAGAATACCAAACAGTGCGGAATGTGCAATGTAGCAAATAAGAATCACCACCACAATCAAGATCATTGTCTTCAGTAGCTTTCTGTACTTGAGAACATCGATGACATTGGACTGTGTTGTACTGTTGGGTTGTTGGTTACTCTGCGGTTGGATCTGAGCACAGTGGATCTTCAGGGCTCTGAACGACATCGTGTAGGATACCACAATCACAAGTAAAAATGTGACTAGAGAAATAGCTGCTACTACACCAAACATTTCTACTTCCATATCTAATACAGGCGGTATCATCATTAAGATGAAAGACGAAATCCACAACATAAACAGAAAACACCTTACTCTTCGTACTGTGACAATAGTCTTGTACCGCATCTTGAGTCGTATGGCCAAGTACCTGTCCACACTGATGGCTGTTATGATGAAGATTGAAGCCCATGAAACCAGGCATGAAATGGCATAGCATGCCCACAAAAGATGACAACCGATATCGATGAAGCCATTTAAGAACGTGTACACCAATAAGGCAAGTAGTGGTTGACAAAATAGTCCCACTGCAAGATCACTGAAGGCGAGACTCGTCAGTAAAAGATACGACGGTGTTCGTAAAGACGACGTCGTCAGAATGGCCACGATAACCAGAGCATTAGCAGCAGCTGTTGGTACAGCTAACGCAGAGTTGAAGACACCAAAGAAAAGCAGTGTTGAATTATCGCTGCTTGTAACAGATTGAGAAATTTTATAAGTAACACTTATGCAGTTACCTGCCAAACTCATTTCTAAATATCCTTTTTCAGCACGAGTTGAAATGATCTAAGGCTTTGAGGTTCTGAGGCAGCCTCTTGAGGGTTCGTTAAAATAGACATCTGGCATCTTTTGAATTACAAAACTCGTCAGTCATAATACTTCAAAAGTAAATGAGCTCTGTATTATTAACCATATCTTACAGTAACAATACGAGTATACATATCTATGACTAAAAGAATAAATATTCAAAAATATCAATATAGATAAAGAAATTTCATTCTGCATATAAGCCTACCAATCAAATCGTTAGCCTGAAAATAATCACGAGCTTAACTTCAAAATTTCTTATGCTTATATCATTATTTTATCATTATTTCATAACTATTTATTTTGAGAAAAAAATTCAAATTCTTTTTTTGAGGGTTTTTCATTTTCTTTAATCTCTTATATCATATTTGCTTTGCGTGTTTATTATATAAGTTAAAACGATAGCGTAAGGTCAATGTTGTCTTTATTATTACTCTCTCGGTTTATTATACCTTTAAAGTTAAAATATACACTACTTGTGGTCCAGTAGGTATATTGCATCAAGTTGTGACATTTGTCCAAAAATGGACAACTATTCGTTCAGTGATTCTGATGATATTAGCGTGATAAATTGAACCGCGCAAGAAGGGAACTTTCTTTAAATCATTCTCGCTTTTGAGGTTTAGTTTCAACATCCTAACGCAAGATGGTTTGATATTTAACGATGGATTTTTTTCCGAGTGTTCTTTTGATTAATTGATGTCAATAGAAAAGATCATGTGAAAGATAATAATGGACCGAAATATAATACTATTCACTGTGTGAGCGGATTTATCTATACTTTTTGCTGACAAAACTGAGCATTAACGTTCTGTGTGAGCCTAGCAAGCATATATGGTCTTAAAGGACTCAGAGCGAAACTATACAAGATCTCTTGGAAGATCATGGCACGCGCCCCAACGTATTCATGCGCAACAAAGCGTTGCAATCTTTGTTTGATGGAAAAGTACTTCACCTGAGGAGAGAGCCTTGCGGTTCTCTTGAAACATCGCTGTAGTGAAAATCCTATATGCCTTAGTTTATTTACTACATCCATCACTATTCTATATATATATATAGTAGAACTATATAAAGGCCGAATCAATACAATTTTGCTTCCTTTCTTTCTTTTTCTTACTTTTGTGTGTGTGGTTTTTTTTTCAGTTTGTGTGGAGAGCAGCGGGATTAGAAAATAAGACATATATCTTAATAAACATGCAGAATTTTCATGGAATACTGAATGAAAAAATACGGATTACCCCACTTGGCCAAAGTCATACATTGAATATTGTGTTGGTGAATTAAATAACATGTCCACATTCGCAATCTTCGAGATAAACACTACAACTGCAATCTTGTTTTAAAAATCGATAATATTAATTCCACTCAACTCTCTAAATAAGGGTTAAAAATAATGAAATGTTTTATCAGATTTTCCTAAAATATGCATGCCTTTTATGTTTCACTTGTGTCGTTGAAAACCAACTGCCGAACGTGAACTGCGCATTAATCAAAATCTAAATATAATTGCAAAATGTAGGCATCAAGATGAGAATTTATAAACGAAAGGTTAGGCCGAATCGTTAAACTGCACGTTAAACTGTACGGCTGATGCGAAGCTCGTCGTTTTGCCTCAACCTTAGTGTCACTGTGAAAATCGTTGTACCGTTCGTTTCTCACTAGTTAGATTTTTGAAGCTAATATATATCTTAAAGGAATGAAATTATGACGCATGTAGGCAAGCGTGCTATGAGCAGTGTATTGGTTATATATAGTGATAGTATATGGTGCTGCGTTGTTCGTCAGTAATACCTTTCATATATATATATAGAGTAGGCTTTTGGTTATGTAACCGTTCTTTTGATTGGTTACTATTGATGTATTACAGCTGTCAATCATACCTGTTAGTCAAGTCCTCCAACGTTTGCTCGTCAGTTCTCTACTTAATATAGTAGCTCCATCCTTCAATCCATATCCCTCGTACATTTGGTACTGCTAACAAACAATATCAATATCATTTTAAGTACTGTAAGAGTGATTTTACTCACCCTATATAAAATAAATGCTATACTAGAAGAAATGAATAACGAAAGGAGAAAGAGAAAGAACTCAGTTTCCGATGGATAATCATGAATTTATGATGAGGTTTCCCATTACAGAACATGTGTCACTCCCCAGAGTATGATTTCTTTGTTTAGCTAGGGTGTAATGTTTACCCATTACAGAACATGTGTCATTCCCTAGAGTATGATTTCTTTGTTTAGCTGGGGTGTAATGTTTTTCCCATTACAGACCATGTGTCATTCCCTAGAGTATGATTTCTTTGTTTAGCTTGGGTGTAATGTTTACCCATTACAGAGCATGTGTCACTCCCTAGAGTATGACTTTTTTGTTTAGCTTGGGTGTAATGTTTACCTATTACAGACCATGTGTTACTCCCTAGAGTATGATTTCTTTGTTTAGCTAGACTGTAATGTTTACCTAATACAGAACATCTGTCTACTCCCTAGAGTATGATTTCTTTGTTTAACTATACTGTAATATTTACCCATTACAGACCATGTGTCACTCTSTAGAGTATGATTTCTTTGTTTAGCTAGGGTGTAATGTTTACCCATTACAGAACATGTACAACACAGTACAACAGATGCAATTGATGCAATCTCTCAAACAGAGAAAGCTCTTGAAGACAATGATACTGATTGTGGTGGTCATTCTTATTTTTTACTTGCCCCTTGTTGGGGCCGGTGTATTTGCGATTTTATCTGCAGTGCCAGATTCAAATCGACTAGTTAAAATTTTATAGTCCAATAATGGTTTGATCAACAACATCAATCCAATCTAAACTCTATTTTGATCCATTATTTGCATGATAAGAATGAGGGAACTGTGACAAACCGTTGTACAGATATTAACAATGACATTCTGATACAAAAAAGAGTGTAAAAATGAGAGAAAATAAATTTACCTAAGATATTGTAGAAATAACTAATGCATTGAAGGCTTCCTAAGGTTTTTAAAATGTCGTATCTTAATTATAGGACTCAGGACCGGCACTGGCAATAAAGAAAAATAGCCTAATTATATTAATATTATTAATAATATCAATATATTAAAAACTGTCGTAACCTTAAGTAGATAACAAGAACTTAAAATAAAGATGCTTCTGTCAACATGAATAAGCCGAATGCAAAAGTAAATAAATTCTGGAAATTTGTGCTTAAAAATACTTGCATTCTTAAGCAGCGCAAATAAATTACCTGTATCTGATCTTTCTTGAAAGTTTTATGCAGTTATTGAGGCAATATCGTTGAATAAAAACCACAGCAGCTCGAAGTTTTCTTAGCAAACTTTCTTCTTCTTTCAAAATGGCCGCGTCTTTCTCTAGTTCCCAGGATCCTCTCAATAGCAGGTTTAAAGGGGGGAGGGGTAGGGGTATGGCTCCAGGATTTGAGGATTTATTTAGATAGGTTTTAATGGCTTAATAGAGTGCATTCAGTCAAACTGTTGAATAGTTAAATAAATGTATCTAACTTAGATAACTATTTAGTTGACGTCAACTAAAATAGTAAAAGCGCGCCAAATAACGGTCATGCTAATCCGGGGGGGTTGTTTTACCAGAGAATGAGTGAATAGACATTCATTTGTATCATCGTTTCTCCCCCTGATCTCAGTAGCTATTTACTCGTAGTTTCAAATTTATGTGACGTCAGCTAAAATAGTAACTAACTTATCTAATTTATGTGACGTCAACTATTCAACAGTTTGACTGAATGCACTCTATTATAACGCACAACAAAGACAACTCGAAACTGAAGTATTGCGTTAAACCTGAAACCTTCCTACGACTGTCTCAACAGATAACGTTTTCCCTGACTTTAATTGAACTTATGGGAAAATTATTAGATAAAAAGTAATGGTAATTCACCGCTATTTATGAATTATTTATTCGAATTCATAAAAAGATAATAGTGATAATGATTTATAATGCTATTATTCAAGATGCTTTTTTACGGTACGTGAAAATATTACGTATTATTTCTTAGTGGACAGATTCGATTGTCTTTCATTTTTGAAGGACACACTTTTTTAAAACACTTGAGAATAAGATTAAATCACTTCTGCACACAAACTAATAATTGAAAATAACACACAAAAGAGAACCGGTTTTTGTATCATTATTTTATTTTATTCTATTCTATTTTCTCTTTGCCTAGTTAATTCTTTACTGATTTTCCATTCTCTGAGATTTCAAATTAACCTAAACTTTTTGAATTTATTCCCCCGATCAGTGCTTGGTTTAAGAAGCTACAACGCAAAATTGGTCAAATACTAAGTTAAAGTCAAAGCAGTGAGAAGTAAGGCAACAGCTGCCGGATCTTCAATTCAATCAGGAAAAAAAAAAGCCAAATTCAAACAAAATAAGAAGTGCAATTCTCTTTTGATTTTAAGAATATCTTTAAAATCATTAGTGGGTACATAGAAAAGGCCGGATTTATAGCTAACTACTTTTAGTTGACGAAGGTAGGACGGCGCACTTAGAAATGGACAGGCGTTCTTTAACCTTTCGTGGGGGCTGCTAATAAAAATGAAAGAACTTCAACCAAAATTATTTTGTATGAAGAAATTGAAAAGTCATTAAATATATCCACAAGTGCAGAGAATTAGCCTCAGATGTAGCAAATGAATTGTTAGACAATTATATAACAAAGACAAACGTTCTTTCTATTTTGGAATTATCGACTCTGTGTTAGCTGTACCAACAGCTGCTCAGCTTATTTACTCTGTAATAGTGTTCATAATTTTCGAGAGAGAAAATACAGCCTTTTGCTATTTTGTTCTTTTTTATTTCCTATTACAAGCTGTGCTTCATGGGCTTCGAGCTCTACCATAACTAGCCATCGGTGTTGACAGGTACTGGGCCATACGACTCAATATGTGATAAAGGACTGTTGTAACATTGCGAAGGATAAGGTGCGTTGTAGCTGTGATATGGATTTTTTCTTTTTTTTTTGCAATGGTTTCCCCGGTAGGTTTAGAAATTGGTATTGCAGCTTGTGGCAATTTTTAAATGTGTTTTGCATGTAACTCGTTTATCTATCAAATAAAGATCGAATAAAGAATTTGCAGAATATAGTTAATGTAAAAAAATCTTATCTGGATACGGTGGGAATCGAACCCTATCTAATTAAAATTTAAAAAAATTTTTTTTTCCAATCGATTCAATTGTGCCATACCTCCGAGACATCCGCAGAGCTGAGGCGGCGTATGGACTTCGGACCTGACGGCGATTAAATCCTTCTGCCCTTGGGTGTACGAATTACGCAAGAAAATGTTCTAGCCGAAGCATCAGGGGAGAGACCAGCCGGCCCCCAGACCATATCGGCTAATCCCTTGCATCTCTGCCACGCACGGAATCGGTTGAAAAATCGATGTTAAAAAGTCTAGTCTATTCGGTGCATTGTACGGCTATTGTTATGCTGATTCACCTGGAACCGTGGTCTAGTGGAAAAATACTTGGGCTTCCAAAATATTAAGTCAAGCCCGATGAGTAAAGTTATTACCTGGATGGGTGACCTAAAATTTATATCTACTCTTTCTTTCTATCTTTCTTCCTTTCTTTTTTTTTTTTTTTTTTTTTTTTTTTCTTTCTTTCTTTCTTTCTTTCTTTCTTTCTTTCTTCTTAAAAATAGATCATAAATTAATAATAAATTAATCATAGTTTAACTAACGTGTGCCTAGATATTTACTCGGAGTTCAGTTAGCTGTGTTATATTTATTAAACTTATCTTTTTTGATTCAGATGTTTAACAAACATTCCATATTCAAGACACAAACTTCGACAGGTTTTCTCCAATTAAAAAAAGCAATCAAGACAAGATAACAGCTTTAAATACAAATTCCGCTAATATTTAATGGATTAAAGTCAAATCACAAGAGTGATTTACGGAAAATGAGGCGTCTAATGGACTTTGGACCTCACGACAATTAAAGCCGATCCGTACTGTACGAATTACACAAAAGAATGTTCTAGCCCGAAAGCATCACTATTCGGCTTCCGTGTATCACTACAACAAATCCCTTGCACTATCTTCTACGCACATAGATGTCAGGGGAAAATAGATTAGTCTATCTTGTGCACAACTGTAGCCCAGATATAATAAAAATTTCAATGGCCTTTTGTGAGCCAGTCCTTGTGATGCGTGAATGCATCACAACGACTGAAATCAGGACCAAAATCACCTAATCTAATCTATAAATATGATGAATGAGAAACCCAGTCAATAATAATGACAGGAAAAACTAATTTTTTAAATTACTTTTCAAAGCAATTTAAAGTTGTTTTCAATGTTGTCGGTCGTGACACATCAAGTTAATCAGCTGCAGCTAGCAAAGCAAACGTGCAGTATAAATATCAGCACGAAGCGGGGTAAAGAATCAACGAAGACACAAGCGCTACGTCCTTCTTGGCGGTCTGTGAAGTTAGTATATCAAGATGAAGAGTATCATGGTAATTCTTGTCCTGGTAGCTTTCGTTAAAGCTAAACCATGCCGTAAGTAGTGTTTTCCTTTTTTCTTTTTCAAATTTAATTGAGAAAATAGTAAAATTAACAGTTAAGTCATTTCTATCATCAAATTTGAATCACGAGATGCGTTCCTAACTTAGCAAAAATACCATTTTGTTCATTCGCACTTAATAACACTGAACATGCGTATTAAACAACTGTTTTTCTTTTCTTTTTTTGTGGAATTAGAGGTTCCGAGAAGACTGAGTGGAGACTTCAACGTGGTATGCTTCCCACAGTTCCCTTCCTTCCTACTTGCCTCCCTGCCTCCTTGCCTCCTTGCCTCCTTGCCTCCTTGCCTCCTTGCCTCCTTGCCTCCTTGCCTCCTTGCCTCCTTGCCTCTCCTCTTCCTTCCTTTCTTACTTGTATTCTTGCTTCTTGGCTTTTTCGCTTTGCTATAAGTTCGTATATTTTTCATTATATTTTTCAGTTCACTTTCAATGTCGATGAAGGAAAAGTGGTCAGCATTATAGAAGGAACAACGTATATCGACCAAGAACACAAACGTATCCGCATTGAAGGTCATTTCGGCGAGACAAATAAGTACAAAGTAATCCAACTTTTTGACGAGGTGAGGACGGAGATCGTTTTATTACTCCATTTTACAGCTCTGTTAGTGACCTTGAATAATAATTCCAAGCTGAGGTTGGAGTTGCCGCCTGTGATAAAGAGTATAGTTTTGCTATGCATGTAAACTCCAGCCTCGACTTATAACTATTATTCGTGATCACTGAACGGAACTGTGAAAAGGAGTATTCTGTGATAACTATCACTCGAATTGATGTTAGAACAGTCAAGCCAGAAACGGTCTTCTGTACTTTACGTGGCAACATGTTGGATGATAGCTATGGCATTTTCAGCTTGGACGTAACATTTTTCAATTTCAGAAGACCACATGTCATTCCCTTGGAAACGAAAATGCTAGGTTTGCGTTGCATCCATATTCATGTGTCTTCTCAAAGGCAACCGTTAAACATGGAAATAATATTCAAGGGAATGACACGTTGTCTGAAATGGGAAAGAAATTATGCCAACGCAGACAGGGTCGCTTTTTTGACTTTGTCGTCACTGAATTCTTTTCTAGAGAAAAACTTAAGCCCACACATAAGAGAACTAAGAAAGACGGTTTTTGAGTTCCATAATTAAATAACTTGCACTTTTGTTGCGCAGAGGATCCAATATGTCATTTCTGAAGGACACTGTCGAACTATGCCCGTTACGGGAGAATTCAAAGACATGAACATTCCAGCCAATGCAAGCATAGTTGATAAAGGACGTATTGGTCCAGCTTCAGATGGCCTGAATATCTTCAGATATGCTGAGATAAGCGCGGAAGGTATATGTAGACATGTTATTTTTTGCTTATAGGGGGTTGAATATGGAAAAACATATACTAGCGACCTCATTTTATGGACGCCTGAAACAGAATCCTGGCCGATCAAAGTCAGGGCACGGATAACTCACAGATTGATTTGGAATTTAATGTGTTGGGTTTTGCGGAGAAAGAAATCTGGGGAAAAAAAGCACTGATTGACTTTTTGCCGTTGTTTTGTTTGTTTTCGTTTTTATTTATTTATTTACTTTTGCTTTTCTCTTCCTTTTTTTTTTTTTTGTTTTTGTTTTTTCCTTCTTACGTTTTGTCCTTTTTTTTTCCGCTGGGGCGTATTTTATAAAATATGTTACGTACTGTATAATTTTAGTCAGTATTCCTCGTTAATACATCTTTTTTTCAAATAAAAGTCAAATTTACAAACATGCTTGCTAAAGTATTTTCTATAGCNTTTTTGTTTTTGTTTTTTTTTTTGCTATTTTGCTATTTTTTTAACTTGTTTTATTTTGTTTAGGAAAGTATCTTGAGACAGTCACTCAGAAAGACTGCATAACCACATCTAAAGTTGGAGTAGTTAAAGTCGAAGGAGTGCACTACGTCGTTTATTTGAGGTGATTCAGTGGTCTGTACATTTGACAGAACTCGTTAATACCAACCATTATGATCGATATCTACCTCCAAGAAGAAAGCTATAATGAGACCAGCCTTACCAGCTTATAGATTGGTCAGTTATCAAAGTTTCAAAATATTTGACGATAACAACATGACACAGTAGAGTGCTACGACACAACCAAGGCCACCCAGACAAATTTTCATACAAATTAGCCAATCACGATTGAGTATTTAAACAATAGAATCTGTACAAATTTTTATATAGTTTTTCCTTAAAAGCATATATTTTACTTTATACGAGTGTGTGTATGATCAGGAGTGAACAAGAAACAGTTTAAACTAGCTCCAGAAATCATCAATTTATCTATGCAGCGTTAAAAATGTGATTTGTGAATAGACCCGTTTCGAATTCCGAATTACCGCTGTGTTTCTTGATCAGACTCATTTACACAGGGTTAGCCTCGAGTTTGTGCAAAATATTCACGTGTTCCAGTCAAGGTCCGTCGAGTTTCAAAATGTTTGTATTGTTGAAGTTGTGCATTCTTTACTTTATTGTTGGTATTTATGAATATTTAAACACTGATACGAGGCTAACCCTGTGCAAATGAGTCTGTAATCAAGGTACGCAGCGGTAATTTGGAATTCGAAAATGGTCTATTTGTTGATTTAAATTTTCTTTGGGTGGCCTTGGTAATGTAGTCGCACTGTAAATTTGCGCAAGTCAATTCCCCGGTCAAACTATAGTGGACAAATTTTTTTTTTTTTTTTTTTCACTAAGCTATTCCATTCTGTATTTGTACACAATTCGTTCGAATCAGAAAAAACTCACGGCACGGACTCGGAGTTGTCCGAGCGGCATTCTGATTGGATTACTTATAACCTCGCGCCTTTCCGTTTCATTTCGTTTGTAAATCACCCGAAATCTAATAAATAGCATGACACATGTAGTAATTTTTTGGTGTCTTCTTTAACAGCTTCACTGGAGCATCGTTGGATTTTGATGATGCCGTCTTTGACGTCCCATCAGAATGCAGAGAGGTTCCCGCAAGATCTCGTAGGTCAGTCGAGTGGTTTTTGAACAACCTCAAGCACTTCATTGGGGCTTGACAAATGTTGAAGAAAGTCTGGCAGTAGCAGATAACAAATGCAGTAACTGGAAATAGCTAGTTGTTTAGAGTCGTATGAGCCAGGAAAATAAAGGTTGCAAAAAAAAAATATTCAAATTTGTTTGACCAATTTAATGCGTTTAGCTACAAAAGTTTTAGAAATTTAATTCTAGTATTGCATTACCAAAGTGCATGAGAAGACATCAACAATCAAACCACCCATACATATACGCCGTATCAACACATGCATATACATATATCCGCTGTCATGGGCCTCTTCAGCTATACTGTAGAACTCTAACCAAACCACCCATACATATACACTGTATCAACACATCCATATACATATGTCAGCTGTCATGGGTCTCT